CCCCCAGCCCAGCCTTCAGAGAAGAAGGAGGACTCTTCGCCTGCTTTCAGAACGTCTCTCGTCTAGCTTCGGCTCTGCGCTCCTTCCTCCCAGCCACCAGGTGCCCCCAGGCCCACGGCTCCTCCATCGTCAGAACCTCATCCTTTTCCCCTCTTCCCGTTGCTTCCTGCTCCCGGGATCCGGGCCCTGAGCTCCGAGACCCAGAAGCCCGAGGTTTCTAGGTAAGAGTGCGGCGAGAAACGCCCGGCTCCGGCAGCCCGGCTGGGCTCGGGACCTGCGGGGCACAGCGCGCCTGGCCGGCTGGTGGGGAAAGAGGCGGACGGATGGCCTAGCCTCTGAGGGAAAGTCCCTCCCTCTGTTTTTGGGCGCCGGGGCCTTTCTGCGCCGGGTTAAGGCGCCCGGCGGATGCGGGCCTAACGGTCCGGCTCAGGTGCGCCTGGGCCGGGCGTGGCTGGTGATCCGTAGGCCCGCCTCAGGAAGCTGCGCTCCGAGTGCCTGGTCGGTGCCCAGGTCGCTGCTCGCCCCAGTCACGCCTGCTCCCAGGCCGGGTCCAAGGGGCCCCGCCCAGCGCTCTTTCGCCAGAATTCGGCCCTGGCACGAACAGCAGGAGGCTTGGAATTCTGAGCTGGAACGTCCATCTAAATACCCTCCATTCTTTCACCCAAGAGTAAAAAGCCGAAACCCAGAGACGGAATGATTTTCCGAAGGTCACAGAGTTGTATCTGCCATTTACAAATGTCTCTTCTTTTAAGTATTTGTAAATAGGCTACTGTTTCCTCTGTTCTGCCAGGGAATTAGGATTCAGGGGAGAGGACTCTAAAAGTACTAATCGGCATATCCAAATGAGCTGAGCCGCATTACTGGCTGGTGACCTTGAGCTTTAAAAGGAAATGAGAGGTTGGCTCTTTTCATTCTGGGTACTTTGTATTTCTGGCCCTTACTCAGAAAATTGGCCTAGATGTTTTACAAAATTTATCGCAGAACTGGACCAGATTATAGAGGTTTCTTTTTTTATGTTAATTTAAAATTTTTCATTACAGTTGGTATTCAGTATTATTTTGTTAGTTTCAGGTATACAGCATAGTGGTTAGTATACATTTACATATCTTACCAGGTGATCCCCCCAATAAGTCTAGTGCCCACCTGGCACCATAGTTATTACAATATTATTGATTGTATTCCCTATGCCATACTTTACATCCCTGTGACTATTTTTTAACTACCAATTTTATATTTCTTGGTCCCTTCACCTTTTTTGGTTAAAGTGATTTGCCCACACGCTCTTATTGGCTAGTTAGAGTCAGAGATAGAATTGGAACTCAGGTCTATGATTGACATCTACTGTTTTCTTGAATAGAAATCTGATTTCAGATGAAAGCTATATAGAACTTGACTTTCATAGATCCCTCTCTGGATAGCATTCTTGGGAGTGGCTTGTGTATTGAAGTTTGTTGGTCCACAGATACTATTTCACTTGTCAGAGTAGGATTAAGCAATAAGTGTAGCCATGCAGAAAATTACTGCTGAGATGAGACAGATATCTGAAATGTTTTTGACTTTTTTACTTGTACGTTCAAGAGGAGCTAATGAATATTAATAACATCTTGATTATTTTTAGATTTTAGTTCTATTTGACTACATTGACTCAGTTACAATCTCTTGATATCTTTGTCATCAGTACAAATTTCAAAGTGTAGTTTTATGACTGTTTCATTTTTAATCAAATAATTGCCTTAATATTTGTATATCTCAACAAGAACTTTCCACTTGTACCTCAGAATCCAGCTTCCTCCTTTGTTGGTCTTTGAGTTGGATTTCATAACTGAATAGAACCAGAATTTTTTTCCCTTCCAAAATATTTGAACTCTGTTTAGTTCTGTATGTAGGTGTACCTCAAGTTTCGATTTTGACTGATAAACCCATGACCCAAATCTAAACTTCAGCTTAGTGTCAACTTAAAACCACATTAAACTGCCATGTGTGATATGATCTCTAGCAGAGACCACAAATGTGGTGGTGTTTTTTCATGAGAGTTTCTTATTGAGATTTTTGAAATGTGAACGCATTATCTAATACAGGTATTATATTACTCACATATCATCATCCAAGGTCAGTCATCACATTTACTTATGACAATGTGTTATATTAGTCTGCTAACTCACAATGCAGTTCCTAGTTTTCAGTTTACACATTTTACCAGTTGCCAACATGTTATCTTTAAGAACATGGAGTCAGAAATATAGCTACAACTATGGGAGGTGAACACACAGTGTTAAATATATATATGCCTTACTGTTAAAAAGTACAGCTGAAACTTACTGGATTTTGTTAACCAATGTCACCATAAAATAATAATAATAATAATAAAAAATATGGCCATACTTAAATAGAAGATTCTTGGCTATGTAGCTAAGAAAGAAGTGCTTCAATGAAGGCAATATTTGTGCACTATTCTATAGTAGGAATGAAGATTATGCACAAATGGACCCAATGCTGATTTCTTAGGCTACATCATTTGTTTTTCTGGTTTTGGTTTTTTCATTATAGGATGGCATTAGCTCTATATCTGCAGGTGCTGTGCAGCCTAGGGGGCTGGCTCTCCCTCTACATTTCTTTCTGCCGCATGAATAAGCACCGAAGCTATGAGTGGAGCTGCCGGCTGGTTACATTCACCCATGGAGTCCTCTCTATAGGCCTCTCAGCTTATATTGGCTTCATTGATGGCCCTTGGCCTTTTACCTACCCAGGTAGGTAGGAGACAGAGGATTTTTCCTAAGATTTATCATTTGGGGGTAGCCATAGAAGGATGGGACTTTTTCACAGAATTTGTATAATATCAAAAGATACTGAAAAATAATTATAATTTATAATTTGCATTGAGAGTTTTCATTCTTTATTGTTAACTCTGATATTGTATATGTCACCTATTTCTGCTTTTCATAACTTTTTTAAAACAAATTTTAAATGCTTGTTATGTTGTAATTCATCAAAATGTACAAAACATGGAGCCAATATCAACATCTTCCATCATGACCGCCAAAGAGACTCTATTACACATATGTTTTGGTAACCTGCAATTTTTATTTGATTGTCTATTTAGAGGACATCATCTTTCCATGTTTATATAGATCTTCCTTTTACTTTTTAATTATTTATAATATTGTGTTATATGCATTAACCATCATTTAACCAATGACTCATTATTTGGGACCGCTATATTAACTTTTAAGCTGGTAGATGTACAAGTGTTACTTTTAGAATACAGAAATTATATCCCCTTGTATTAGTTTACTGAGGCTGCCATAACAAAATACTACAGACTGGGTAGCTTAAATGACAGATATTTATTTTCTAACAATTCTGGAGGCTAGAAGTCCAAGATCAAGGTGTTGGCTGGGTTGGTTTCTTCTGAGGCTTTGTTCCTTTGCTTGCAGATGGCTGCCTTCTTGCTGTGTCCTTACATGGTCTTTCCTTTGTGTGTATCGATGTCCTAATCTCCTTGTTTATAAAGACACCAGTCTCATTAGATTAGGGCCCAACATAATGACCCTATTTTAACTTAATTACCTCTTTAAAGGCCCTATCTCCAAATACTGTCACATTCTGAGGTACTGAGGGTTAGGGCTTCAGCATATGATTTTCGGGGTGACACAATTCAGTCTATAAGTCCCCTAGGATAAGATTTTTAAAAATACCTTAGATTTTTTTTTAAATTCACTTAGATTTCCATACTGAACTTCTGAGTTTCTCCCCAAAGTGTCAAATTGATATGAAAGCAACTTAATCTTTGTGTTTTATATGAAAGTTCTTAATGGATTTGAACATGCCAGATCTTTGTACCCTGTGTTCTTGGACATAGGAACACACTAATTTCTGGGATTCTTTCCAAAGTCCACTTTCCAGATGGGTTAGGGTCCCCAGTGACCAATAATTGAACCTAGTATACTACAAAATTAATCTGACATTCAGGACACGATAACTAAAATCTCTGGAAGCAGACCTTTAGCTGGTAAAAAATAAAAATAAAAAGGGAAAAAAAGAAACCGTAGGATTGTAATTAAAAGAACAAAATAACTCGATTTTATGCTGCTACAATAAAGAGGATACTGAGATCATTGCTGGTGTTCAAATCACTTATTGAGATCTGATTCATCAGAATAGCATTGTCTAGGGCCTGTAACATGGTTTGAAAAAGACCACGGTTTTAGATTTTTCTTTGGTTGTCATTAAAAAGCATATGTATGCCATTGTTTTTGTTTTCAATGATTTAAAAAGGTGTGAGAGACAACAACATAGTATCCCTGTGTAAGGCAGCACAATCCCCAGTCACCCAATTTGCTTCTGTCTTGGTTTATTTCAGGTTCACCCAATACACCTCTCCAAGTGCACGTTCTGTGTCTCACCTTGGGCTACTTCATCTTCGACTTGGGCTGGTGCATCTACTTCCAGTCTGAGGGTGCCCTGATGCTGGCTCACCACACACTGAGTATCTTGGGCATCATCATGGCCCTTGTGCTTGGAGAGTCAGGCACAGAGGTCAATGCAGTCCTCTTTGGAAGTGAGATTACCAACCCCTTGCTACAGATGCGCTGGTTTCTTCGTGAAACAGGGCACTACCACAGTTTCACTGGAGATGTGGTGGACTTCCTCTTTGTGGCTCTCTTCACTGGAGTGAGGATTAGCTTAGGAGCTCACCTCCTTTTCTGTGAAATGATCTCACCCGAGCCCAAGTGGTTTATGAAGGCTGGGGGGGTAGCCATGTATGCTGTGTCTTGGTGTTTTATGTTTAGCATTTGGCGCTTTGCATGGAGGAAAACCATCAAGAAGTACCATGGCTGGAGAAGCAGGCAGAATGAGGAGCAGCAACTAAAACATAATGGACATCTCAAGACTCACTAGCCAAGGTTTACTCCCACTAATGGATTGGGTTAAGTCAGCCATGGGAGCCAGGTTGGAAATATGGCTGTTATGGAATCATGCATATATAACAAATTTAGATTTCAAAAAAGGGCTGAATTTATCAATCAGTTTTCAAGTGGAGCACATATCAGTATTAAACACTAATTTCTACAGTAGTACAGTTATAGAAAGTGAGACTAATCAGCGGTAGTTGTGAATAAGTCAGAAATGCATTCCTTTTAGTTTGTGGTGACCCTAGGTCCTCTTGTCCCTGGGAAGCTTGATACTCAGACAGCTTAGAAAGGAACTCAAAAGAGATTAGTGCTATTTCTTCCTTATTCCTTTGAGTAGTGACTCCTTCAACAAACACTATCCTGCTTTCCATGTAGCAATTTAAATAAATTCACCCCATTACTATAAAATGAGGAATTTTTAGGAAGATCACTTTGATATTTTGAGCATTGAATCAGGGAACTGGATCTGCTTAAACAAAGAGAAGTAGAAAGAGGGGAGATGGATGGAGGTGAAACTAGCAGTGGTATTAGGTTACTTATTGACCCTCCCTGTACCAACTGTGTTGGGGTCCCCAAGACCACAGTTAGGTTTGGTACTTTGCTGAGAGGACTCCCAGGACTCAGCATGTAGTTGTACTCAGCGCTTTATCACAGCAGAAAAGATACAAAAAAAGATCAGCAAAAGGAAAAGGTGTGTGGGGCAGAGTCTAGGGGAAACCCAGGTCCAAGTTTTCAGAGTCCTATCCCAACGAGATTACACAGGATGTGCTTAATTCCTCTAGCAATGATCTGTGACAATATGTGTGAAATGTCTGCCAAGGAAGCTCATTAGTCAGTGCTCAAGGTTTTTACAGGGGGCTGGTCATGTAGGCAGTCTTTGCCTAGCATGTAGCAAAATTCCTGATTCCCAGAAGGAAAGTAGGTGTTCAGCATCAACCACATTGTTTGCACAGTTTAAGCACAGTGAGCCAATCTTACTGGTTACTGGTTGGAGCCCTCCAAAAATCTGTGTTCCCAGATGCCAGCCAATGACCAGTCTTTCCATGGACAGCTGTTTCAGGCCTGCTATATTAACTCTTTTCTGCATGAAAACCATAGAGCTGGGACTTGGATGAGAGATGAATGGCGAGGGGTGGGGGAGGCAGGTGGTGCAGAGTTACTGAGTCCTGTTGTATGGGTTCTGCTATACCAGGAAAACTATCCCAGTTCTCAGGGCTTTTGTGCATTAATCTCTTAGGCATGAGAGGCTCTGACTAAATTCCATAGGGATTTATCATGTGGATTCCACTATGCCATGCAGTTCAGATTTCAAGTCTGCAATACATACTGCAAACTAGAACCAAAGACTAAAGTGTATACTGGCTTCAGAGTAATGAGGCTTTTTTTTCTTTCTCTGTTTCAGATATATTCCCTTTTAGTTGTTATTTTTTCTTTTCTCTTGAAAAAGTGCCACTATCTATGGACAAAATATTATGGCAAGGCCAGTCTTGGAAGGAAAAATAATTTCTTATTGTGATACTCTAATCTCAGCTAGGAAAAGCAAGAATGTAAGCTTAGAACAAGAGGTTTAGAATCAAGATTCTTGGGTTATTTTAAAGAATCTTGTTACTCTCTTGCCAGATCATTTGGGCAGGTCACTTGTTTACTTTTTACCTCAGATTAAATGCTATTGTGAATGAATGAAATACCTTGTGTATTTCATAGAGTCATTATTTTCTTAATGCAGGTCTTTAATGTAGGGTTTTTATGAAAAAATAAAGTATTTATATTTGTTTAGTCTTTAATGTAGGGCTTTTATGAAAAAATGAAGTATTTATATTTGTTGTTTATTTACTTGATTGTTATTTAGATCAGTGGTAATTGGTAAGCAAGTGTATGGGGCTATTAAAGACAAGGCTGAAGGTCCTTAGAAAGTGTCAGCTCATTCTATGGTCACTGGTAATACTAACCTTAAGAAAGGTCTTGCAAATGGATGTCATTGACCAGGCATGGCAAAGTGGCTGGGACCACATGAAGTCATCATTGCTCCAGGAAAAGCAATTTTAAAGGCATATTAACAGTGGGTCTTTTAAAATGGCTGCCATTTGGTTAAGGAGTTTTTGCCGGACATAAAGATAATCTGAAAGTAATATCTTCATTTCTTTTTTTTCTATGATAAGTATCCCTAAAATGCTGGCTAGTTTCTTTCCAACAAAATTGTGGTCAAAGTAGGATGCTGGGAAATGTTGATTTTAGCAAAAGCCTAGTAAAAACGAGGGGCTTGTCACATGAGCTTAAAAACAAAAAAAAAAAGGAAAAAATTGGCTCTCGGATTTTGGCACAGTGCAACCTATTCCATATCAGACAAATGAATAGGCTTAATTTGGTACCAATTCTTTTCCCCTTTCTCTTCAGAAGCGAAGGAATTGCAGATCTTGCTGTTTTGGGGTACTCTCATGGGAATGTATTTAGGTCTTTTGAATTTTGAGAAACCTGAAGAATTAAAGGAAAGGGAATCCCTCATTTCAGCTTTTCCTGATGTTGTAGCTAATAACTATGAAGGAATCTGACAGAAAAATATGAAATGAAGATGACTTAGCAATTAATATGCTGAGTTTTTACATCACAGGTATATGAAGGGCTAACGTGATGGTCAGACAAAATAAAGTACTCATTTGCATTTGGATTACTATGTAATAATTAACACTGCTCAAGAGAGTTTATATTTCAATAAGATTTGTACTAAATTTTATAAAAATAAACAACTTTTTATCAACCCAGAGTCTGCTTTTATATCTTTGTTGTGGTTTTGCCGAGGTTTAAAAAGAAAAAGTCTACTGGCCTGTAGAAACGTTGACCCATAATTATACTAACCAGTGAAAACCCTGTTACTTACTGCTTATCATCAGTCATTCCAAATATACTTTATTTTGGGGAGTAGCAATCTATAGTTTGTCAAAAGAAAGAGGAAGAACTTAATTTCTTATTTTGCCTCATTTGGGCAGTTGCCTTGAAAATGATTCTGAGTAGGCTTCATGAAAATAGGGCCTTCGGTTCTCTTCAGAACTGTAGTCTAATGCCTACAACAGTGTTAGACAAATAGTAGGTGCTCAGTAAGCATGTTGAAAGAATGGATGAGGGGATGAGAATGTGGTTTAGAATAAGTCCCTGTTGGAAAACCTCAAGAGCTTGTACAGTAGATTGAGTCACCCATCATTTTTCTAGGTAAAGGACTAATGACCCTGGGGATTGTGTTCTGACTCTTGTGAAGGCATTATATAGATGGAGCCGTTAGAACAATCTAGAGGTACCAACACCTGTAAAGAAACTTTCAGGGACATTTTTACCATTAGAACTTTGGGTGGATGTAGAGATTTTTGTCACTAAAAATAGTTCTGGAATGAATAATGACTGGCTTAATTAAATCGTTTGCTTACCATCTTCTGAAACTTTCCCACAGCAAATGCCTTCTTTGCTCACAGCTAGAACTTTGGGTCTGTCTAACTTTGGAAAGATCTTGAAAACAGTCTGCCAAGAGATTTTGTATGCAAGGAAGAGAAGATGAATCAGGAAACTTTCCCAGTTTGTTTTATTCCTGAAGCTCAAGTAGTGAGGTGTTCCTAAAGGGAAGAGAGGAAATCATTTTTAAAATGCATGATTTGATGGGGCCAATTAACTTGACACTGTAGAATTATTACTATAGGGCAAAAAAGATGCTAAGTTTGTTTAAGAAACAAGTTTAGGGGATAACCTTTGCATTTTGGTAATTGTATATGGATGCATGGAACTCTTTCCAAGTATATGTAGAAAACATGCAATTTAAGTTTTCAGAATGGAATTGTTATGCCAGGGTATACCAGCAGGTGGCAATGTGTCCTGGTCTAATCATTAGGAAAGTGGCTTGGAACCTCCTAATCTGCTTCTATTCTTTCCCAAAATAAACAGTACAAAATTAGCTGTGCTCTGAATTTAAAAATCAAACAATAAAGAGTCATCTTTGGCCTCTGTTTATCTTTTCCTTTTTTGACCCTTCTTTTGACCCATCAGTTTTAGCTTATGCATTTATTCAGTGATAAGGATCTTTAAAAAAAAAAAAAATA